TCCAAGTCTTTATTCGAAAAAGACATGACGTTTGTTGCCTCTGTCTTCCCCTTCTTGATGGTAGGTTAGGCACTTAGCACCTCTCTAAAGTGCTCAGCCTTTTTGATTGATCCCCTGAGCTCGCATACACACTCAGGTTCAAAAACTCCATGTATCACATTGATAATGCCTTGAGGCAGGGCGTCGATTGGCATCCCATTGGGGTTATTATGGTCCTGGGGGGCTGGATGCGTCCCTCCTTCAATGTATTTGTTCAAGTGACCTGCCGCCACCAACTCTTCCAGGTACTGTCTCAATGGTGTGCAATTCTCAGTGTGGTGCCCCTTTTCTTTATGGAAGATGCACCGCAATGTTTCGTCGTAGTCCTTCTGTGCTTCTCCCAGCTTGGCTGGCCACTTGACGAAAGGTTCATCTCTTATTTTGCTCAGAATTCGATATATCGGTTTCTTAAACACCGTGGTTATGGTAGTGCGGATTCTCAACCATCTTTTATCCGGGTCTTCTCCGTTATCTCATCTGCCACGTCCGTTTCTGTTCGATCGATCTACCGTATTAACCTTCGCTGAGGTCTTCTTTTCTGGTACTGTGGTCGCCCCAGATTTTGCTTTGGCACGTGCGCCATCCTCTTCTACCCTGATGTGCTGATGCACTAAATAAAAACAAGCAAGCTTTCTTTGAAATTAATGGAGGTGCGTTCGGAAAACCAATTATTAAAAGAAATTAGAGATTTATTTTTTATTTTTTTAATCATGTTTGTGGCGGTGGACTGGGCTTATTACACGGGTTAGGAGGTCTCAGTGCACTCTGGTACAGTGCGTGTAAATTACGACAAATATGATTCGGTAAATTTCGCAATTACTACCCGAACCCAGATAGATATATCTTCTCTCCTCCGTTGATTTGGCAAAAGCTTCCCACCCCCATTTTCCACCGGGGTTTTAGTGTTTGTTCGGAACCTTGTTACGAACGCCTCTGCTAATTGTGCCCAAGAGGCTATGCTGCCCTCTGGAAGTTTCTCGAACCAAGACAAGCCTAGGTCGCCAAGGCTAGATGGGAAGAGTATACACATTAAGGCCTCGTTTCGCCTGTACACAGCCATGACCTGGCAAAAGTGGCTCAAGTGTGAGTAGGGATCCGTCTTCCCTTCATATGCAGTGAATTTGGGCTGAAGGAAGCCTGATGGTATGGGCGCGTTTTCAATCGCCGGAACAAATGGCGAAGTCTGCAGCCTTGCCAATGCTTTGTCCATTGGTTCGTAGGCAAGGCGCGGTATTGGCATTCCAACCTCGACGCTTCCATGCGTCCGAGGAGCCAACCGCTGTAAGGCAGAAACTCTGTGTGGATCCCGTGACCTGGCATCCTCCTTGCATCGTTCCTTTTCTTCGAGCACGGTTCGTAAGTCGAATGATCTGGGTAACTCAGTCTGTTTAGATCTGGTTTGGTGCGTATGTGAGGGCCAATACGTGCTTCCTTCAGTGTATGATCTTTCAGATCTCGTCCTCTCAGACCTGGAGTGACAAGTTCTGGAAGACCTGGATTGAGTATCGCCTGTCCTGAGGCTTCTGCTCTCTCCTTGCGAGGGTGTGGTATCCCTACTACGATTTTCTGAGTGGCGAGGGGGCGTCTTGTTTTTGCGCCCCTATCCTGTCGCCACTTCTTTTTTCTTCATCTAGCGCTTCAAGGCCTCCATGTCCGCCGCCATCTTCCTTATTAATTCATCTTGTTCTTTCACGCGGTCTTCCAGAGCTTGAGGATCAATCATCCGCCTTTGCCTATCAGGACTTTGCAAACGAGAGTGACAGGGGCTGTTATTCCGCCTTCCCCTAGTATCCTTCCTGGTGTTATGTCGTTGGGGCTCCAAATCTGCCATGGGAGGGATAGAAGGTAGTCCTTCACGCCTTGCGCCCCCATCCGGAGTTCGCCCGTCGATGGCGGACTGCGGTAATTCTTCAATGTGTGCCATTGTTTCTAAAGAGGAGAAGCTTAATCAAGAGGTTTTGTTCTGTCTGATTTTCCCTCAGACGGAGCCAATTGTACGGGAAAGAAATAAACCTTCTCGTATGATCCTGTTGATCAAGTCTGCACTCCTCCAAATAATGTTGCTTTGCCACCTGAAAACACAAACGTGAGCTAGCCGGCGGGTGTGTGCCGGAAATCTCTCTGATGCCTAAGTCAGTAAGCTTGACAAATAGACAAAAGCTCTGTGTATTCTGAAAGCAAAGTTGTGTGTTACCTTTCCAAAGGTGATGTTTGTGAGCTTTTATAGGTTTCGTATGGCACAATCCTAGTAGGACTTCTACTTCTCCATGCAGAGTCCTCCTAGGATTCATATTCCTGAAAGATAATAATCATATGTGTTGGACTTTTCAATAATTTTTTTTATATTTGTTCTTAATGCATTAAAGTGCTATTATGAGGGATAATAATCATATGTGTTGAGACTTTTCAAGGAATTCATATGTGTTGGATTTCAAAGAATTTTTTTTAAGCTTGTTCTTAATGCATTAAAGTGTTATTATGAAGGTAAGACTTGGGAGTTGGGAGATGTTAATAAATACTAAGATTTTTTTTTAAAATCAAAAAATCAAAAAATTTAAATTGGGAGATTGGAGCTCCCACAAGGCTTGGGGTTAAAAATCACATTTTGCTTAATATATAGTATATATGTTTTTTAAGATTTTTTATAAAAATAATTTAACAATTTTATCACTAAGCATAGTGTATGAGAGAAGTTAAAAAGGGTACTGCAGTAACTATGCACGAATTGTGTCTATAATTATTTGTATGAGGGGATTTCAAATGCTGATCAGGGAATTATATCAATAAATGCAGGCATGTGGAAAAACATGTGGATTGAAAAAAGTTAATAAATGTTGATTAAGGGATTTTGACCAAATCAATAAATGTTGAGTTTTTATTTTTTTAATAAAAAATAAAAAAAATTCAGATTCGGATATTGAAACTCCCACGGGCCTTGGGGGTTAAAAACCCCCTTTTTGCTTAATATATAGTATAGATATAGATAGATAGATAGAAATAGAAATAGATATAGATAATATAATATAGATAGATAGACGTGTTGAAATTTTCAAGGAATTTTGTTTATGCTAGTTTTTAATGCATTAAAGTTTAATTATGATGGGGTTTTGACCAAATCTCCCAAAAGACATGGGGATTGGGAAAAATTAATAAATGTTGAGGTTTTTTTTTTTTTTTTTAAATCAAAAAATTAGAAAATTAGGATTGGAATATTAGAGCTTCCACAAGTCTTGGGGGTTGAAACCTCCTTTTGCTTAATATATAGTAAGTATAGATAGATAGATATAGTATAAATAGATATAGATATAGATATGGATCAGAAATGGCCGTACAACCTTATATTTTTTTACTCATTTCATAAAAAGTCAAAATCCCCGACACTCACCAAATCCTATTTTCGTCTCATTCCTTCGGTTGCCAAACGCGTTACGCACTGTTTACAACTGTGGTGGAGGGTTTTGAAGGGGGTTTGAGAGAGACTCAAAACGAGCTTAGGAATTTCCAACGAAGAGAGAGAGAGAGAGAGAGAGAGAGAGATGGGCTGCTCATGCAGACCCTCCTCGCCGCCGCATTTCCCTTCACCACCACCACCTGCTACCACTCTTTTATTGTCACTGCGCCCCAACTCTACCATTTTCTCCTCCGCCGCCCCCGACCACCGTGACCGTCGCTCTTCTCTCTCACCCCATTCTAATATTACCCCAAAACTTCATTTTTCATCTACCTCTTCCTTCCTCATAAACCCTAATCTTTCTCTCTATCCTCTCCTTCCTCTCTCTCCCCTACCATGCGGCGGCGCCGGCAACAACAACAACAACAACCATGGTGGTGGTGGCAGTGGCGGCGGTGATTGGAGCAATTCCTTCGATCCCGACGAGTGGCCGCGAAAGGATTCTACTGATGTTCTCATATTCCTCTGCTCTCGTGCGTTTGCGAATGATGACGCAACAATTAGCTCTTCGCACAAGCACTTGTTGTTCTTCTTTGTGTCTTTGTTGGGTAGTTTTGGCTACTTCCAATTGGCTTCGGCTCAAGCAAGAACCAGTACTACTGCTGCCGATGAAAAGGAAGAAGTAGTTTTTGTTTGGGAAGTGAAAGGAGGGAACTGGATCAAACTCATCGCTGACTATTTTAACGATGCATTTGTTGTTTCAAATGGAAAAAAGTCGTCGTCTTTGTCATCAATTGGTGGTAATGATCTTGAGCAGTCATTCGCTTTTCGGGTTGGCTCCGATTTGTGGATGCAATGTAGGGATTTATGCGTGCGTTTGATGCTCCCCGAAGGTTTTCCTCACAGTGTCACCAGCGATTACTTGGAGTACTCTCTTTGGAGAGGAGTTCAAGGTGTTGCAGCCCAAATTAGTGGCGTCCTTGCCACCCAGCTACTTGTTATTTTTCAAATTATCTCTTAGATACTTGTGAGAATTAGATGTTTGACAAAATGCCAAGCCTGAATAATCTAAATAAAAACCCAGATAATTGTTTTGTGTAGTTCAATTGGATTGTTTTGTTTTTTTTCTCTCTTGTTGTGATGTTATTGTACTATGTTGATGTAGTCTTTACTTTATGTTGTTGGGTTGGGAAAATGGGCCATTCCAACTGCAGCGGCTGTGAATTGGGTACTCAAGGATGGAATTGGTTATCTCAGCAAAATTCTGTTGTCAAAGTATGGTCGGCATTTTGATGTCAATCCGAAGGGATGGAGATTATTTGCTGACTTGTTGGAAAATGCTGCTTATGGAATGGAGATTTTAACTCCTGCATTTCCTCATCTATTTGTTCCAATCGGTGCTGCCGCTGGAGCTGGATGATCAGCCGCTGCACTGATCCAGGTAAGTTGGAAAGGTTTGGTCTGGTTTGAGGATCATTTACACTATTTTTTCTTTTTCATCTACTAATGCATTGTAAGTATAAAAATGATCTTTTGATCATATATATCTGAGTGACGCCCTCATAAGGAAATGGAAAATGAAAACATGTCATTTAGAAGAGTATCATGTTCTTGCTTCACAGTGTGATTTTAATGTTTTAGTCATCTTATAATGCATGCCCTACACAAATGTTGGGGATTATGAATTTTTTTTGTTTTGATCAACAACAACAAATTTTATTGGTAAATCAAAAAGAGCTGAGGATGAGTATAGCTATCCCGGTTGTCCCTTTACTGTTTTGTTGTATTCCGGACTCGGTTCCGTGAAGTGGGTAGTGGTATCTATCTTGTTGTCGTCCTTTAATTCCACTTAATTGAGTTTTAGGATGTTTTGAGCAGGGTTGTTACAGGTTGGTTAGGCCTTGGTTTCAATTCCTTGTTGTCCAGTTTTTAGGCGATCCGCTCGAGCGGGGATTGCACACCTCCAGTATTTTGTGCCCCTGCAAAACTTCCGTAGATGTGATTTTTATGCTCGAGCGAGTTTGTTTACGCTCGAGCGGTAGCGCTCGAGCGGGTTTGTTGGCGCTCGAGCGGGTAGTACTTTCTGGGTATAAGTTTTGGGAGGGGGAAATCTACGCTCGAGCGGACTGGTTTTCGCGCTCGAGCGGAAGTGCTTTATTCTTGTGTCTTGGCCCTCGAGCGGGCCTTATTGCGCTCGAGCATGTCCAGATTTTGTTCTTGGCGCTCGAGTGTTGTGTTCTCCGCTCGAGCGGGTTATGCGTATATGAGTTATCTGCTGGGTCATTTTAAATCACTTTTTCACTTTTCTTCTCTCTCTTACTTTCCCAAAAACCCCATTGTTGAGCTTCTCACTCTAGAACTCTACCTTCTCTCTAGGTATTGATCTAATATGAGTGATTTCCTCACCTTTGGCCTTTACAAAAAAAGTTGTTGATCGTCGAGGGCTATCCTTTGATTTGAGAAATTCGTAGTTTGGAGCATTTTCGTTTTCTTCACCTTCTTGGTTGGGAGTCATCTTTTGAGGTAGGGATAACCTACTCCTCACTATGGGCTTTGTCTTTAAATTTTAGTATTTTGAGATGTTAGGGTTGGTTTGGTAATTTTGTAAAAGTTTGGGGTTTTTGTGTAAATGTACAAAAGTTGGAGTTTTAACTATATAAAACCTAGATGCATGTTTGGCATGGAAAAGTGAAATTAATGTTAAAACATTAATGAAAATGGAACCTAAGGGTTGTAATGTTAATTATGAAAAATACCCTAATTACATTGGTTAATTAATTTGCGTAATCAATAATGAGAAATGAGGAATTGATTCGGAAAGATATGGGATTAAAGGGTGTGGTTGGATTATTTATCACTCACCTAGTTGAAATGTTGATTATATATCCATTGTTGCATTTATTTTCTGTGTAGAAATAACTATTTTGGGCTATCGGTGGAGGATAGTCTTGATTGTTGTAGACAATGTATGATGATTAGGCAAACTGAAACTAATCACTGGAATGTGTCATTGAGTATGGCGGTTGAAAGAATACATTAAATTTATGTATTGTGTGATGATGTGTATAATTATTGTTTATATGCATTGTGTCGTGTTGGAGGAGATAGGGGATGTACTCCACGGTTTAGGGGAAGATAGGGGATGGACCTCTAAACCGGATGTTATTGGGAGAAGATAGGGGATGGACTCCATAGATAGAGCTCATATGCTTATCTAGTAATGTGTTGACACAGCTCATATGCTTGTCCTTGGAAGTGTGATAGTGCTCTTATGCATATCTATGGAAGAGATGATATAGCTTGTATGCTTATCTGTTGGTGTGTGATATAGCTAGTAGGCTTATCTATTATGAAATGGGAAAGTGTTTAATATGAGTTACTGTCCCAATACAAGTTGTTTGGCCAGGTTCTGAGCCATAGTTATAAATTGAGAATTGAAAAGAATTGGTAAATGGACTGTAACATGGTCTTGTATGTCATGAAACTGTAAAGTGTCATAAGTGAAAGTATCAGTGTTGGCCTTCTATCAACTGCTAATCTTTTAGTCATTGTTCATATTTGGTTTAGTGTATTTCTACTGGGCTGTGGCTCACCCTATATGGGAACATCATTTTCAGGTACAGGTAGCATGCCACCTCCAAGGACATAGCTTGGGAGGCTAGAGGCGGACACACTTTTGTTGTCTTATTTCTTTTGATGTATTACATGTAAATTCAAGCCAAGGGCTTAATGTGAAATTGAGTTAGTACTCTCTTTTGTAACCAAGTGTTAACTTGGAAAGCTGTAAGCCCGTAGGGCATTTGTTTTTGTCGTTAACATGTAATACTTTTGTAATGAAGTACTCTGATGAATTGAACAAGTGGATCTTTTGTATATAAATGTATGTTTATATTGATGGGTTTAATGTTATTTTTTTTAGGGTGTTACAATGAGGCAGCCTCTACAAATAAGAAAACAAAGGAAAGAAACTACATAACCAAAAACAAAGACTGCATCCTCAAAAATCCTACATGTCACACACCGACACCCAATCTCTAGCTAATAAAAACAGTGGAATTCCTTTAAAGGGGATTGTGACTGACTCTCCGCTTGCATGATTTATTCATAGTAACTGTTCACTAGAGCTTTGTATAATGAAATGTTTCTCTTGAGCATAATTTCATTATATGTGTATGTGGTTGAATGAAGGGGTATTGCATAATGTAGAACAAAGCACCTTGGCTCCCCCTTGCTGAGACTGGGGAAACTGTGGACTTGACTGAAGGCCCTTGCCTAGTATAGAACATGCACTTAAGACATGCCATGCTGTCTGGGGCATTTCTTGGGTCTGACCATGCATTTGACAACTATGTTAACACAGACTTTAGTTTGTTAAAAAGCATTCATGCATGTGTTTGCACCCATGTGTTTTAGTATTCTGGATTAAGGCAGTGTTAACTTGGTTTATTATTATTTTTCTCAAATATGCCTTCTGTTGAATAAATCTTTCACAGCTTCAGCATTTAAACATGTAGCTAATGTTCCATATGTGGGATTTAACTCTTCCCTTAACAGGCTGCTACCAGGAGTTGTTTCTATGCTGACTTTGCGGCTCAGAGGAATTTTGCTGAGGTCAAATAGTTTCTCTCTTGGCTACTAATGTCCAAATATTTTTATTATTAATGTTTTATAAAGCGTGAAAGTCTCTTATACCATTGGTCATCATGTATTTGGTTTCGATGATCATAAAGCATGTTTCTGGGTCAACCCTTTGTTAGTGCTTATTTATAATCTTGATTAGTCCTTCTACCTTGGTGGGTGGTTTAACTTTTTCTATTCATCTTCTGAAAGGAGTCACTAATGGCAGGTAATTGCAAAGGGTGAAGCTCAGGGAATGGTGAGCAAATCTATTGGTATCATGCTTGGCATAGCATTAGCTAACTGCATACAGTCCTCTACACCTCTTGCTCTTGCTTCTTTTGGTGTGGTAACTTGGATATACATGTACTGCAATCTGAAGTCATATCAATCCATTCAACTAAGGACTCTGAATCCATATCGTGCAAGTACTCCCTTTCTTCATTTATAATTTTAATTAATGAAATTTGTGGAAATGATATCTGTATTACTGCTTTATTCAGTATGAGCAGTTTTCTAATGCATGTTGACTATATTGGCATATTAAATTTAAAGAATGGGGTTGCTTAGTGATGCTTTGATGTTTTGAAAGTTTCTAAATCGGAAATACAGATTTGCTTTACTATTTTGATCTGGAACAACAATATTTATGTTGATAGATGTCCATCTCATATCACATCAAGTATCATTTCTCATAGGTTTTATATTATATATTGGGCTATATAAGATAGACTTAAGTTTTTGATAGAGATTGATTGAAAGAGGAATGAAATGAATAGAATACATATTACTTGGAAATTAAATACATCTCAACTAATGATAATTTAGATGACAATTTAAGCACCGATTATATTTATCTCTAATACTGCATTTCTCTCTTCCCCTTTCCAGTTTCTTCTTGCTTTGCTTTGTGTTGATTACTCTCTTCTGAAAATTAACAACAACATAACTAGTAAGGATTAATTTTTTTAATGTATGATTGCTCAATGTTCATTGATTAATTAATCTTGTAAAAACAGAGTAGTTCCTCTTTACTGATTAGTTTGTTCTAGTAAAAAAATGTATGTTGTCATGTTTTTTCCTTCTTCTTTTTTTTTTTTTGGGTGATTATATAGTACTGTGGAAGCTTTGTGAAATACCATTTAGCTGAAAATGCAGTCATTGGTTTTAACGTAGACGAGGGGAGTGACATGTGCTATGCTTCTGTGCCTTATCTCAGTATAATCCGTCCCTCTTATCCTTCTCCTAGTTTGTTTTGCTAAATGGGATGGATGAAGTTTCTTGCATTTCTTTATGAACGTACTTTTTGATTTCTTTCACAGGTTTGGTCTTCAGTGAATATTTGCTTAGTGGTCTAGTTCCTTCAATTAAAGAGGTTAATGATGAGGAACCACTTTTTCCAGCTGTACCAATTCTTAACCTGAATCCTGCACGCAAAGTAAGTAGCTCCTTTTTTTTTTTTTTTGGGTGTGTGTGATTTATAGATCTTTCTTACAAAGGTAAGAACTTAGGAGACATCAAATAGTGACTAAGAATATAATGCTTGATTGTTCCTAGGATGCACATGGGGTCTTCCTACAACAACTGCATGTTGTTTGAGACAAATCATTCACATGGTTGCTACCTTGCTGCACTGTATCATATGACGAACACTTTTTCTTTTCCTTTCTCCATTTAAGTTTGAATTACTCATTCTAGAGCCTTCATTTATTTTTGGATTTTGTACAATCTGTTGTACTGCTACCGCATGCCAACCCTCTTGGTACTAACTACTAATCATGCATGGCAGCCCCACTTTTGCTCAAATATTTCTTGAAAGCTTTATTTGTTTTTGCCTTCTAGTTGCTTAGTTTGATCCAGTACTATCTTGAATTTTCGTCGCTATTTTCTGCCTGTTCATTTTCAAATTGCTCTCAACTAGTTCTCTTTGTGCATCAATAAAGAATACCTTCTTGGGGGTATCCATTCCCCTGTTACTCTTCTACGATAATTAAGTTGCGTTCCATGCTGGGTTTTTCTTCTTCTTCTTCTTCTTTTTGGTTTTGGTTTTGTGCTAAAGTTTCTATGTTCAAGCATTCAAGCCCGCTAGCCACCTAAAGAATGGAGTTGATTACCTGCATGATCATGATTAACTTAAAAAAACCAATCATTAGTTGTTGATAGATTTAACTCTTGAGTTACTATTTCATCGTTTTCACTAATGTTGCTAACCATCTTTCAGTTTCATTTCAATTTCTTCTGAACTATGAAGCACTGTGTACGAGTGTCGGACATGTGTCGGACACGAACACACGTCGGATACACTGTGGACATGTGTCCGACACGCAGAGAAAGATGTCCCCTTTTGTTTTTGAATTTTTTGTCACCGGACACGTTCTGGGACATGCCGTGATACTTTCCGAACACGAGCAGGTGGATCAAAGAAGCCTTAACTGTTGAGAGGAGAGAGAGAGAAAGAGAGAAAGAAATCGGCGAGAGAAAGAAGCCCTAACCTGTTCAGATCAATCGAAGAAGCCCTGAGATATTCTTCTTCTTCTTCTTCTTCTTCTTCTTCTCCTCCCTTTTCTGTTTCACCTCTTCGTCTTCTATGATTCTCTCTCTGTTTTCTGATTTCACTCTCTCCCCCCCTTTTTTTTACCCGCTGTTTCTTTTGTTTCTCTCTCCTTTATTTTCTTGATTTTCACCCTCTTTTTGTCCTTTTTCTCTTTCTTTTTTTTATCCTTATTTTTGTTAGACCTAAAATTCATAAAATAAATTATTTTTATTTAAAAAAACTCATTTTTTATTAGATTTTTTTTAAGAAATGTGTTTATTAATTTTATTATTATTGTAATTATGTAAGAATCAATGATTTTCTTTTTATTTTAAACACATAATAAATAAATAAAATTATATATATTAAACATATCCCCAACATGTCGTATCCTCCATTTTTTTGAAAATTTGCATGTCCGCGTGTCTGTGTTGTGTCTCGTGTCCGTGTCTATGCATCATAGCTTCTGAATAACCATTACTACATTGACATTCTTAAGATTTGTATAAAAATTGTTGGATACTTTTAGGATTGCAAATGTAACCACAGATATGTCTCTTTACTTTTTTTCTAAATTTTGGAGATGTAATTGATTTGTAACAATTTCCATAAGAAGCAATATACATTTATATATCAGAAAAGAAAAAGTACGGCAAAGTGAAAAAATTGATGCATCTAGTAAGGATTATATCAATTCAATAGGTAAATTGATCTCAAGGGGAATTATGTGCGATGACATTTTGCTTATGCTATCAGAATCTTTGCAACCATTTTAGATGTGGTGCAAGAATCAGTGTGATGCTTATTTGATGTTCATGGGTCAGAGATGTATAAGACAAGGTATTGAATAATATAGACATCCAGGAACATGTTTTTATTCAAGTGTACAGTCTGATTCATTGATATTAAATGAAGAATAAAAACATGGGAAAAATTTTCTGCTGATTCTTATGCATTGTGGTTTTTCCTTCCCAGGCACAATTAGAAGTATTGTCTGCAGAAGCCATGGATGCAACTGCTAATATCGAGGGTCAGCTGCAGCTGGGGTCCAAACTCTCTGATGTTGTTAAAAGCGAGGATGATGCACTTGCATTGTTTGACCTCTTCAGAGATGAAAGCTATATTTTGACCGAGCATGAGCAAAGATTTTGTGTACGTACAACCTTACCTTGGTTCCCATCGTGCATGCCAATTTTTTTGGGTTGTTTCTTCTTCTGATCGTTTTTATATCTTTTATAGGTTTTGAGCTTCTTCTTCTTCTTAGCGTCAAAATTAGAAAGCCGGTAAAATCAACAAGTTTAATACCTTCAGCCTAAAGACGTATTTTGTCTATTCAAAATTGTGGGACCTTGCATTGCATCTGCCCATGGTTAGTAAATAAATGACAAAAACCTCAGGGTGTTAATGAAGATTATTCTCTCATTGTTTTGTTATTCTTTGACCTGTTTTCTTTTGAAGGTGATATTTGTGTTGGAGAAACTTTGATAGGAATTGCAAAACTCAATTAAATTGTGTTTTTGGTTGAAATTTGACCTGGATCAGGTAATACTCAAAGAAAGTTCCTTGCCACAAGACATGCTCAAGTCATTGTTCCATGTCAGTTATCTGTATTGGTTAGAGAAAAATGCAGGAATCAAAACAAGGAGCATGGTTGATGACTGCAGACCAGGGGGGAAGCTGCAAATATCTCTGGAGTACATTCAAAGGGAATTCAACCATGTCAAAAATGATGGGCAACTAGCAGGTTGGGCGACTGATGGTCTCATCACAAGGCCTTTGCCTAACAGAATCCGTCTTGGTTGTGCTTCCTCTGATGTGGAATGCTAACATTATACAAAGAAGGTGGCCATTCCCAAGCAACAAATGAGGAAAGAAAATGCCTTCAATCATAATAGGACTGCTTGTACCCGTCTGCTACGGTACAACCTCTTTGAGCCACCTAGTCCATGCTGCGAAGAGTTGTGCCATGGAGTTTTGTCTAGAGGGGAAGATGTAATGTAGAAGTTGAAATCATGGAAAGGCTAGGGAGGGTTGAGCATTGTCCATATAATTCATCCAACCTTGGTGAATGGCACCTCCCTGAAGATGTTGACAGATGATTGAAAGGTGCTGATGAGCTGGGACTTGGTGGAGTAGTGCATTTTGTTTCAGAAATGATTTGCTGCTAAATTTCAGAACAGCATCCATTCTTTTTGATATTGATTGGTGTTTGTCTTAGATCATAGAGAAGTTTGACATTGAATTTTGATAGTTGTTGCCATTCATTGCTTTTTTGAAATGTTGTAACATATAAACCAGTTACCAAATAGGGCATTCTATATGGGAATATGATAGTTTTTGACGTGGGTAAGCCCATAAAGGCCATAGCCCACTACGAACAACCCATGCCCATCACTTGGAGCCCAATACATTACCCAGCTGGTGAAGTTCAGAATAGCTGGAATCCAACATGGCATAAAGAGCCAATGACATTCAGACATACGACAGGTAAAGGACAAGCCACATCAGCAGACAAAGATCTGCAAAGTTATTGCCACTGCACATCACCATTAATGCGGCCCATCACAGCATTTACTACGACAACACCTCTCCGTCGGAACAGCACCTCCTTACCCTGAACAAGGTAAGCTACAGCATAGACTTTCGGCCAAGATGACATGTCGGAAGGGACAGCGAAATGATGACCAAAGAATATAAGCAAACGTTGAAGGCAAGAAGAAGGTTAAGTTTTTCTATCTCCAATTCATATCTCTACATTACACTTCTCTCTCTCTCTAACTTGCTCGTCGGAGGGTTCGTTGGGGGACTCCCCGTTTTCTTGTTGAACTTGTGTGCAGGTTCTTTGGTGGGCTTGAACACCCAGTTACCGGTTGAAGAAGCGTGAATTAGTCCGACCCATTCCATCTGGGACCCGTTGTGTAGTAACTGTATCATCAGTTGGCGCCGTCTGTGGGAAAGCTTTGCTCCTTGCGCCAGTTGTGTTCACTGTCGCCGGAGACCCCATTCTAATAACCCTTTCTCGCTACCCATTGAAGTGTATGGTCACGACTAGATCCATGGCTTTTCACCAAAATGTTGCCGACCACCAAGTCGACCCCCCCAATCCAAACAACCCACCACAATATTTCATCGAGCTTACCAACAGTATTAACCGCATGGCCGAGCAAAACCAAGCCCTGATCAATACCCTACTCCAAAGAAACCTTCTCATGCCCCCTCCACCACCTCCCGATATTCCTCCCAACTACGAACAAACCCCGAGCCATACTATTCCGCAGCCTAATCCGCCCAACAGAGAAGGCTTGCAACCCCCTCCCCCAGGTATATACCTACCACCCCGGGGCCTACAACCATCGATCCCGTCACCAATCCTTAAAATAGAGGCTAGCAGCGTCCAGCCCCCGTTGCCCTCTGGAGGTGACCACATCCCTCTCTAGGACGCGGAACTCCGAGCCATGAAGCTCCAACTCCAGGGGGTCATGCAGAACATCCAGCATAAACCCTCTACCATAGCAAACTCACCATTTGTCGCCTCCATCCGCGACAAACCTCTACCCCCAAGTTCAAGATGCCCACCATCGACTCTTTTGACGGTATGACGGACCCAGTCGACCATCTGGAGACCTACAGAACCCTCATGATCCTCCATGCATTCCCTGACGAGATCATGTGTCGAGCTTTTCCCGTGACGCTGAAAGGGTCAGCTCGGCTGTGGTTTAGCCAGTTACCAGCAGACTCCGTCTCCACTTTCCAGAATCTTAGTGACTCATTCCTTAGCCATTTTATTGGAGCCCAGCGCCAGCGATGCCCGGCAACCCAACTCAACATTCGACAGACCGAGGGGGAGTTGCTACGCAGTTTTGTTACCCGCTTCAACACCGAGGCCCTGCAAGTTGCGAAAAATGATGACAAGGTCATCCTCACTGCTTTCATGGCCGGTCTGCGGTCGTTCGACTTCCTGTTCTCTCTCTCTAAAAACCCCCCGACCTCCATGGCAGCCCTACTCTCCAAAACCCAAAAATACATGAACGCTGAGGATTCCCTAGCCGCCCAGCAAGATCCCATAACCAAAAATCCGACCCCCAGAGAAAAGAGAAAAGACTCAGAACCCAGAAGCACCCAGTATAATAGCCAAACACCACACTATACCGACCGGCCTCCCCAAGCTGACCGGTCGGCACAAGCCTGACCGCCCGGTCGGTTCGAGTGGTACACACCCCTTAACTCTCCCATGGAACAAGTCCTCAATCAGATCCAGCGGGACTACCTCCTTAAATGGCCCCAACCATCACGAACCCCTTCCAATCGAAAAGATCAGTCCAAATATTGTCGTTTCCACCAGGACCATGGCCATAACACCGATGAGTGCGTTAACCTCAAAGATTAGGTTGAGACCCTCATACGCCAAGGGCGTCTTAGCCGGTTCACGGACACCTGCCCTCAGCAGAGGCAAAGAACTGAGCCCCTCAGAAACAACCGCCAGCGCACCCCCCCAGCAGCTAGCCTAACCTAATCAAGGTCATGATCGCCTTCCACAGCAACCTCGGCCGCCAGGCAACCCCTCTCCACTTGTTGAAGAGATCAGAGTCATTTTAGGCGGCCTTGCTTGCGGGGGACCATCCCGTTCGGCTCAGAGGGCAGAACTCAGGAAGATAAGGTAAGGCTCAGACAAAGCAGTTGCCACGGTCGATCGACCCTTCAAACAGCCCAAGCAGTGGACCGAGCCTATCACCTTCACGGACGCCGACTGTACAGGCATCCGCTACCCTTATGATGATCCTTTCGTCATTTCTGCCCTCCTCTCCAACTACAAGGTCAGACGAGTTCTCATCGACAACAGCAATTTTTCAGACATCATCTTTCTCAACTGCTTTCACCAGCTCAAAATTTGGGAGGAAAGTCTGTCTCCTCTCCAAACCCTTTTGGTCGATTTCACTGGCGACCGGGTCACCTCTATCGGCTCCATTGATCTTCCCATCACAATCGGCGAGTACCCACAGCACACTACAAAGTTACTTACCTTCCTTGTCGTCGACTACCCATCCGCCTACAACATCATCCTTGGCCGCACTACCCTAAATGCCTTCCAAGCTATCACATCAACTTATTACCTTGCCGTTAAGTTTCCCACTGATCTGGGGGTCGGGACTGTAAGGGGAGAGCAGGCCGTGGCCAGGGAATGCTAAGTTGCCTCACTAAAAGAAGTCAAGCTGAAGGAAGCCATGATCATTGAAGGACTTGACGTCTGAGATGAGGACGAGCTGGTCAGAGGAGAACCTGTGGAGGAGCTCGTGGAGGTTCCCATCGACCCCACCAACCCAACGAAAACTGTCAAAATCGGCAGCCAACTATCCCCCCAAGAAAAGGCCGACCTTACTGCCCTCATGACCGAGCACAATGATGTCTTTGCCTGGACCCATTCAGACATGCCGGGTATTGACCCCTCCTTCATAACCCATCGCCTCAGCATTGAACTCCATTTCCGACCCTACCGCCAGAAGCAGCGCATCTTTCATCCTGAGCGCAATATTCTTATTGCCGCAGAGGTTGACAAGCTCCTTGAGGCCCAATTCATCAAGAATGTGGACTACCCTAGATGGTTGTCAAACATGGTCCTGGTTCGCAAGAACAATGGTAAATGGCGACTTTGTGTCGACTACTCAGACTTCAACCGAGCTTGCCCCAAAGACAATTATCCTCTTCCCCGCATAGATCTGCTGGTCGACGCCACGACCGGTCACCAAATGCTCAGCTTCATGGATGCCTTCTCTAGGTATAACCAAATTCTGATGCATCCATCCGATCGGGAACACACCTCCTTCATTATCGACCGAGGCACCTACCATTACCAAGTGATGCCATTTGGACTGAAAAATGCTGGGGCCACCTACCAACAGTTGGTCAACGCCATTTTCCATCATCAGATCGGTCGGAACATGGAAGTATATGTCGATGACATGCTAGTCAAGAGCAAACTCTCCGCTGACCATCTGACCGACTTGCGAGAAACCTTTGCTACCCTACGGAAGTACCAGATGAAGCTCAATCCAGAGAAGTGCGCCTTCGGCGTAGGATCTGGGAAGTTCTTGGGCTTCATGGTCAGTCAGCGGGGCATTGAAGCTAACCCTGAAAAGATCAAAGCCTTGATTGAAATGCAGTCACCCAGAACGGTTAAGGAAGTTCAAAGACTCACTGGCCGAGTTGCCGCCCTTAACCGCTTCATTTCCCATGCAATGGATAAGTGCCTTCCTTTCTTCAAAGTTCTTCGGCAAACTTTTGAATGGACGACCGAGTCCAAAGAGGCTTTTCAGCAGTTGAAGCAGTGCATGGCCAACCCCCCCTCCTTTCTCAGGCAATCACTGGCGAACCCCTCTTCCTCTACTTAGCCGTTTCAAGCACCGCAGTTAGTGCAACTCTTATCAGGGAAGACGACTCTGTTCAACGGCCGGTCTACTACATCAGTCGGGCTCTCAGGGGCGCCGAGCAGAATTGCCCACTGTTAGAAAAATTGTCCTTGGCCCTGGTCATCGCCTCCAGACGACTCCGTCCTTACTTCCAAGCCCATTCCATAGTGGTCCTCACCGACTAACCTTTGAAGAAGGTAATGCAGCAACCAGAGCTCTCTGGCAGACTCATGCAATGGTCGGTGGAACTCAGCCAGTTTGACATCTCTTACCGACCTCGAACATCAATTAAAGGGCAGGCTGTCGCCAATTTCATCCTGGAGTTCACTAATCCTACCCCAACCACGGCCACTCCGCCCCCACCAACCCCTACCGAGCCAGAGGACCCTCATTCTTGGACTCTCAATGTCGACGGATTATCCCGTAGAGAAGGCAGTGGGGCTGGCCTCATCCTCATCGCCCCTAAGGGTGGTTATTTCAAATGTGTTCTCCGTTTCTTGTTCGATGCCAGTAACAATGAGGCCGAGTATGAGGCATTGATAGCAGGGCTTCGCCTAGCCAAGGACATTGGTGTCAGTCACATCCGGGTGTTCAGCGACTCCCAACTCATTGTCGGACAAATTACAGGGAAATTCGATGCAAAGGAGGACACAATGCGGGCTTACAGGGATATTGCCCTTCCCCTCGTTCGCCTCTTCAATACCTTCCATATCCAGCACATTCCTCGGGCGAAAAACTCAAAGGCAGACGAGATGGCTCAGTTGGTTTCTGTAGACCAGTCCGACCTCAGCCATGGTGTCCGTCTCGAATACCTAGCCCACCCAGCCATTTCTCCTGATCAGCAAGAAGTGTAGTT